TACGCATTCGGCTGAGCATTGCACTTACAGCATCATTGTCTGAGGACCATTTGAAGGCGGAGCCGTCCACAAGAATCGGGTTTTCCCGCCACTTTGCAGGAGCGAAAGGCGCAACCCCGAATGAGCGCGCGAGTAATGTTCGTTTTATGGGCCCTCGGACAGCGGTCACGCGAGACCCAAGCCCCTTGCGCAGCGGCCGCCCGAGCCACGGGAACGTCCAATAGCGCCGTCCCCAAGTGCCGTTGTGCCGCGCAGTTTCCCAATGCCCACCTCCCAAACGGCGACCCCCGCCCCCTTATCGCCAGCCATCGTGGGATGGGAATTTCGGGCCGCGAGGACAATAAAGAACCGATAAGTGGCCGCAACGGTAATCTGGCGAGGGCCGCGGCGGCAGCCATTTGTTCGCAACAGGGGTGCCAAGCGTACAAATCGAGAAATGTGAGGGCTGCAAATAAAGTGTATGATTTTTGTATTATATTGTTGCAGTTATTCTATACTCCAATGACCACGACCAAATCAGTTAAGTTACAATACAAATTTGACAACCGACTTAACAAGTCAGTAATCACAATACATTACAGTTGTTCAAACGTAAAATGTACGAATGATGTGTTGTTGACATTATCCGAAGATGAAATACTAGTAGTTATCATTGTAATCTTAGATTTATTAAGAGAGCGAGCATTCGACAGCTGTATTAAATTTAAGATGGTTAAGATTCCATTATTTTATCCATATACGCGAAATGTTCTAGGTGCACGATCCATCGATTCTTTCCTATACCCATAGAATCACCGTGACTGAAATATCTTAAACACTACCCATGTACATAAGTGTATTCCACAATACACAAATGTTAATCAGGTAAACATTTCAGCGAAAAAATTACAACGGATTGATAAGAAATAGCAATTCAGACATTTTATTGATAAGCTGAGGGCACACAAGCAAATGAAAATTGGTTTGGTAAATATTCATTCGTTTGTGTCGCATTGTATTACACTAAAGGTAAATGAATAAGAGTGTAATTTGAGCTCTGAAATAGAATCCTTCACATTATATATATATATATATATATATATATATATATAATGTATGTATATATATATATGTATGTATATATATATAATGTATGTATATATATATATATAATGTATGTATATATATATAATGTATGTATATATATATATAATGTATGTATATATATATATAATGTATGTATATATATATATGTATGTATATATATATATGTATGTATATATATATATATGTATGTATATATATATATATATATCCTCTTCCAGTACGTCTATTTTTAATTAAATTAAATAAAAGAAGCAATCGGACTGTGAAGCTCTGTCTGAGTAGATGAAATTTGGAGCCTATGAACGTAATTTTCGTCTCTAATATTTGATACTTGAGGTAACCTTTTGTTAAGTGAAATACTGGTCACCAACAGAGGCGTGCGCATCCAAACAATAAGAATGAGGGAACTGCATTTGTGCTCGTCTGGACCCCCTTTTCCAACCAGCGTTTTTATTTGCGTATGATATATTTTACTAGGAAATAAGTAAAAGTTTCTGCTAGAAAATGAAATAATTACTTGAAGTAAACAATAAAAACAATTTCATTTACGTTAAATCATTTACAGGATTGACGGTGGTTTGGAGAGATTCTTACCCAAATATGTATAAATTCCCCAAATTGTCAGCTTTAAAAGTGTAAAATGAGTGAATAATATTTACAGAAAGGAGATGCTTTAATTCCGTAGGTCTATTTTAGGGCTCTTTAAAAAATGTTCAGGGGCGTCATAGCCCTGCCTCTTCCCCATGCCTCATGCACACCCTTTTGACGATATTTCGTTTGTGGGCTGCCAAAGTGGCATTATTTTAAAAAATGGGTTTTTTGAGTTAATGCACCCTCCAGAACTACAGATTCGTCTACCGTCCAGCAGCAACAGCAGCGTATCTCACAACACAGTACTCCACCAACAAATGGCACAAGTGAGAATGCAAGACTGATGCATTTATAAATTCTCTTCTATCCGGGAGAGACTGATGCATTCCTTTATAAAGTGAAAACATCAAACTCATTTATCTCCACACCTGATTTTTTGTGATGTACCAGTTTTGCGTCCCACGAACGATTTTTCGATTGCTTTGCGATGTCCATTCCGCCCCGGTAGGGCACCCCTGGCGCAGGGGGCAGTGGCCTCGGCCCCGTTGCGCGGGGTCAGGGGTCACCGCCACCGCCTCCGCCTCCGCCTCCGCCTCCGCCTCCGCCTCCGCCTCCGCCTGCGGTCGCGCACGCGTGCGCTCACGGCGCGCCTTCCCACGCGAGGCGAGACACGCGCCACGCCAGCCCCCCCTCCTCGTCCCTCCTTCCCCTTCCTCCTCGTCCCTCCTTCCCCTTCCTCCTCGTCCCTCCTTCCCCTTCCTCCTCGTCCGTCCTTCCCCTTCCTCCTCGGACTGCTCGCTCCGCGGCGACGACCACAGGCGCACGACACAATGGGCTGCGGAGGAGCCGTGAGGAATGCACCGAACCTCGGAGGAGGATACGCTACACGCCTCCCGCCTCGCGGACTTCCGTGAGAGTCAGTGGTGGATGCAGGGAAACATGGTGGTCTTTAACCCACAATGCAACAAATTAAAAAAAAATATATACTTTTCAGAAGAAGTTCCCTATTTGCATCATATCACATCGAATAGTACATCCTTAATGAGTACACGTTTCAGATAAAAATTATAAAAATATAGATAAAGGGTGTCTGAAGTGTAGTGGCTTCTTTCTGAAATTCTCTCCGGATTCCCTATGCGTAAGACTGCGTCCGTAGGTGGATGATGATACGAATGAAGTATTTAGCGAAGTACTTATTTTCTGATATGAAATACGTACATCTATTTCACTACTGTTAATTTATTTGAAGAGGAATATTATAATTTCTGTATCAAAATACCCAAATGCTGGATTTTGTTCAGGTTTGCGTGATAAATTCTGAAAGATGAATTTAGTGTGATTCAGTTCGTCAAAGATACACTAATAACATTTAATCATTAAACAATTTAAAATACTATGTTCTGAAAATATTATCATTTTTCTTAAAGTAGTTAGTTTTCTTATAACTGGATCTGTCGTAGATATTGATGCAAAACATAAACAAAATCTTGTTTTACATTAATGTATCATTTGATTACTTATTTAAGGCATTTAAAGCAAGATATAAAATTTCAAAATAGTATATAAGATAAGACTTCTACATTGTCATTAAAAATTAATTTTATAATAACTGCCACTTCATCTGCTCCAATATTGGTTTCAATAGTTTTGCCTAATATAAACGGTTTTTGCACGGTTTTTGCACAGACATGGTTCTTTCAAGTTATCAAACGACAAATGATCTTGTGTTGGTGCTTGCTCTGTGACATGTGCTCTGTGACAAACGAAATGCCCATCATTGAATTTCGTTCTAACTATGAATTATTAACATGCAGTTCATGTGTAATAATCATATTTCCTACTGGTATTACCTAATACTCAAGTAAAATCAATACATTTCATCCATACTATTTATTTTTTTTTTGTCCCTGAGGAGTCGTGGTATTTCCAAAGACAATAATTCATTGTCCAGATATTAAATTTCATAGTTGTGAAGGCATAGCTTCGTGGTACAGAAGTCAGAGGAAGATCTGGCAGGGGAAAGTGGGGTCGCCATTTCCCAAGAAGAAAGCTTCTTTTGTAGAGGCGCGCATGCTCTAGCATTGCAAGGCGATGTTGCTATTCACCACTGTTTTTCATAAGCTCTTCGGAGCTACATGTGAACTTTTTTGAAGAACTGTTGGCAGAAAGTAGTGAGAGCTCCGCATTCTACGTATCACCCCCCCCCCCCCCCCCCCCNNNNCCCCCCCCGCCCGTCATCAACTTGCTTTGCAGTTCAACTGTATCTCAGGATGCTGCGGGAGAATCGTAACAAGGGCGCTAGACTCAATTAGGCGGCTCGACCATTCCATCACTGTGCGTGTGTGCCGTGTCCCAGCGCCCATTCCACCCTTAAAGCCAGACAATGGGCTGAACATCTCATTTGGTCCAACCCCCAGTGATTGAATAACTCTCTGAAAAGCGTCGATATTGTGGAAAGTAGCAGCAAGTCACTCGTGGTTAGAATGTCAAACAATTATTTTAAATCTTCCGTTTCTAACCTTCTTGTACCTAATTTGTGGTATTAAAAGCACTTAGCAGAAATGATGTGAAACCCGATATTCGCAATGATTTCGTACTCGTATGCAATTTTTGATGTATTCTCTATAAAGAAGAATAAGATAAACGTACTTCGTAATTCTTTTAATACTGCAACGAAAACATATTTTGTAATGGGTTAGTGTACACATTGAATTTTCACATATTTAATTATTTTTAATTAATTTCTCATTTCCTTCTTTGTGTCTACAACATTTCCTTTCCTTTTTTGTGTCTTCTTTGTGTCTCCTTCTTTGTGCCTTCTCATTTCCTTCTTTGTGTCTTCTTTGTGTCTCAAACAACACCTTCCTTCCAAAACAAGAAACACAATTGTTACGCATGTTTAAAACACTTCAGTATCTTGATTACGTACTATGGGAATATATTTCAACAAATTTCCTCCTTGTTATCTGTGAAGCAATTGAGAATAATGTTCATTATCAAAACATGCCGTGAAATTCACCATTATCTCCCTGAAGTTGACCAAATACCCACACCTCAATGCTTCTCTCACGTTTTTTTAAATAAATGGCAAATCATTATTACAAATCAACGGAGCTATAAGATTGTCGCATACACTTTATCAAAGATTATGTACAAAATTATTCTTCGTTAAATTCTGTATGGTGATTTGTAATATTTATTTTTGTGATCATGCACATTTTTTACCCTTTAAATTTTTACAGTGCATAGGTATTCCTACTTAGTGCACTTTTCTCTTTTCTTACTTGCCTGGAATTCATGTGAGCTGCTTCTTAATGTTGCAGATGATGCTGGTGTTGGTGACGGCGCTGCTGGCGCTCCTGGCGGCGAGTGCGCGAGGCGCAGCGAGGCCCGACAGCGCGGGCATTGTCGAGATGGTCAATGGCCTCGCCTACGGTGAGCTCTTCCGCACGCTCGGACACCCGCACGCTCGGACACCCGCACGCTCGGACGTGTTGTAAATTAATATTGTAGTCATGTTCTTGTGGCCATAAATATATATAAAAATTCTTCATAGAAAATTTAATATGCGTTCTTATATCCTGTTTGCATTATAATATATGTTTGAAAACGTATAAAAATATTTCATTCGTATACGCAGTTATTAACTGAAGAAGTAGCCATTAACATCTGTGGAGAAAACTTAAGGTTCATAGTAGACTTCACAATTTAGAAGGATGTAGGAGTGTCTTTCTAGAAAGAGAATAAAATACTCAATATATTAATACTCAAAACATTGTTTAATATGATTTTATGTAGACATAATTTTTTGATTCTTCAACAATTCATCTTAAGGGAATCAGTCATTGAATGGTGAATGTTTTTCTCGATTATTGGAACATTGTTGAGCGATCATTCAGTTGACCTCCCCGAATATGCATTCATTTCTAATGTCAATGCAAAACGTGTACACAAAATGCTGTTCAGAAAATTTTCAAAGAGCTCCATGACAATACTTTTGAGTCATTAGAAGTCTGGTGTGATGCGCTAACTGTAGTTTCTGATTGGTCTGTTGACTCGCGAACCCCCAACCGTCTAAATCTGACTTATTACCAGAGTACCTCTTTTCATCTGCTGGGTATCCAGTGACTTGTCCTTGGAGCGTCAGTTTATGCTCCCATAGGCGGCGCGATCATGAGTATATCCAACATAATGCAGCTTCCGCTGCTCTCCACTTACTGAACCTCGCTGTCCGTTCAACTCCGATTTAGTTCACCTCTCGTTTTGAAGTAATGTCAAGTAACACGTAATGTTCCAACAAAAAACATATTGTTCTTAAGTTCTGCATAGCTAATAATCTGGCAAACTAATACCTGTTCCGCATTCGCGGATATATTGTCCTGTATTCTTGAACCACCGATATCTAATCTTTCCCAAGTTTTCGCCAATCTTCCAGTGACATCAAGACTACCAATTGGGTATTTAAACAAAGATTTCACTTTAATTATCACGACTTAATCGTAATGCGTTTATATCTTTCGAACTCTAGCCAGCGTCTGTGAAAACAAACTTGCATAGCAACCCATTACATTAGTGAATTGTTCATTCTCTTACGAGTCGGTACTCCCGCAGTTCTATATTTTCGTTTCGTGACAACATCACGATGCACTGCAGCTGTACGGAAAAGCACCTTAGGAACCCCTTAACTGTAGCTGTACGGGAAAGCCCCCAGGAAGCACCTTAGGCGGAAAAGCAGCCTATGCTGTCCTGACTGCAGTGGGAATTCGAATGTAAGGCCTCACTTCGCTCGTGCCTTTCCGGTACGGCAGCTGTACCGTTGTGAACGGCCAGATTATTCAGATAATACTCCTGAATCATGCTGCCTGCTGCTTGCGGCAAACTGCTGCAGTGGTCACAGCGCGCGCTAGCCTTCGCGCCTGGCGAGCGGCCGAGGAAGCAGGAACTGGCAGGAACGGCGCTGCGCGGAGGGCCAGAGTTCGAGGCTGGGCGCCGGCGATTGCCCCCTCCGCAGCGAAGGCCGCCGAAGGGTCAGCGGGCCGACGGTGGCGCTCGCAGATCCGGGAAATTGAACGAGCCGGTTCATCGGACTCTTTGAGGCAGGCATGCCAATCTCACCAACCGCCTCTTCAATGGGGATACGTTATTTCTCATGAAAGAAATATATTATTAATATGATAATAATCTTAATAATAATAGTAATAGTAATAATAATAGTAATAATAGTAATAATAGTAATAATAATAATAATAGTAATAGTAATAGTAATAATAATAGTAATAATAATAATAGTAATAATAATACAGATGTATGATTAGAGATAATCAGACCACAATAAATTATGTTCAAATAATGTATTTAACACATATTAAACCAAACGAGTTTAGGGGGACTTTCCCCATGTGCAGTGATGCAAAACGAGTAACATTATCTAAAACCAGAGCAAATGTAAAAATTAATAAATGTATTTTTAAAACGGGCATAAATTATTAATTTAAGTGAATATAATGCTTATTCTTTTAATTGTCAAAATGCGATTGAGATTAACGTTATTCTTAATTCATATTAAAAGGAGAGGCTATTTTGACAAATGATTTAGTGTGGGGTGGGGGAAAGAAGTACACAGATTAATGAGTCCGCCACTCTTCACATTTGTTTTCTCATTTTGGAAAGTCATCGAAGGATTGTTTAGTAATTTCATTATTTCTACATTTTCCAGAATATGTAATTTAAATCCCTTACTTTGAATTTGTAAAATTTGAAAGTTTTTGTTTAGGTCAAAGGTCTGGTTCTGTTTAATAAGGAGTGAGACAAATGTTAAATTTCATTGGTTTTGTTTCCAAGCTGGTTCATTGACTCGGTAAATTTTCTTCCTGTCTCTCCTACATAAGCAATCATTACAATTTTAAATATGCACTCCATTTTCATCCTAATTTTTATAGGGTCTTTGGTTGAGGAAAGTATTGTTGATAATTTAATATTGGTTTTGTAACAGATTTGAGTGACATAAATTCTTTTGGTGTGTTAGCCTCAACTTTGCGTCACATTAGCCATATAAGGAATACAAATTAAGCATTTTTTGTTTTTCTCGGAAAGATTCAAAAAATAAAACGGTTTGAATAATATTTTCTTTTCTTTTGATGTACCTAGTTTGTCTATTAATTTTGGATTTTATCCATTACTAATGATTAATAATGGTTCTTATTTTGAGCTTGACATAAAAACTTTCAATCCTTCCACATATAGTATTTTTACTCTTCTCACAGTTAAATGCAAGTCATTAAAGTTATTTACATACAGTTTAACGGATGGATTTGCGCTCTATAGACATTTACAGCAAGTAGCAAAAATTTCAATTTGCTATTTTCATTGTAAAATCCGAATCAAATGATTGAAAATTTTTAAGTTAAGGGTTACTGTATGTTTACAAAATGTATTTTTGAGGTGATTTACTATCGTGATACTTTAGAGCAGACTTGTATAACTTAGCGATAAAACTTAACATTTTGTGTCGAATATTTTTATTTCCACTCCATCCCCTTATCTTTCTTTGTGTTTATCTTTATCTCTTTCTCCATTAAGTTTCTTTTCTATTCAGTCAGTTATCGGTATCATTGAGCCTTATGTGCTTAGTCTTGAAAATTCACTAGTGTTCCATTATGTTAGTTTATACATGGTATTAAAATGGCAGACCAGAAACAAAATTCATAGTTTCAAAAAACGAAACATTTACGCCCAAGAGAAACAATTCATTACGTTATAATCTCTTACTTTTAATAAGATTTTTTAATTATCATCTTTTCAAAATCTTACGTTTTTCATCTTTTCAGTTGTTAAAAAATCCTCGTATGTGTATTAGGACGTACTACTTTTAAAATTACTGTAACCACATTTATCCGCAAAACATAAATTAATGTAAGTCGTTCTTCATATACCAGTGAAAAAACATCAACAAAAAACAATCCCCTTCCATTTGAAAGTGGCGCTTTCAAGAAGGAAAACTAGTGGCTCTAAGAGGATAATTTGAACTACCGGTCAGGCAGTTTGCGCGAGGGGAAATCTGAAAACTCGCGCCGGGAACCGAACCCGAGTCCTCGGAATGCAGGAAGAGAGAGCCATCTCCCCCGCGTAGAGATTAATTTATGAGCGACGGGTCAGACGTTCCACCAAAATGGTGCGTGAGGAGGTTTTCAATTCCAGGCACTTATATGTTAAAGTTGCTGAGAGCGCCTGCCTATGAATGTTTCAAACAGCATCTACCGTCTGACGAGAAAGCCCAGACGTGCATCTTTCTCATTCATTACTCGGTTCTTTTTAAAATAAGGACAAGCAGCAAGCATTAAAGCAACATACTCCAACTTCAGGTTTGTCCCAGTCTTTATACGTTTATTAAAGATTCAATAAATTGTAATTTCAGAAGACTGAATTGCTTTAAATTTGTTATTAATTCCGTATTAATTCCATAACAACAAAATGTACTGTTACGATTAAAATACCTTTCGGATTGGGCCGTGGTCTATCGGACATTCTGTGTCGAAATGCTTCGTCTGTTACTGCTGCAGACATCTTCGTTAGCTAATGGGTCTGAAAGTCTGAAAAGTCTGCGTGTACCCATTAGCCACTAAAGATACCTACTGCAATAGCAGACGAAATATTTGGGTACAGAATGTTCGATAGATCAAGTTTATCCAGCCCGGAAGGTATTTTTAATATTCAGCCGGTATTTGTTTTGACGCAAATTAAATGATGTCGGAGACTTGATATAATAGATAAAACAATGAAAGAAGTGTCGTGAGTAGTGCACCATCTGTTGGAATGAAAACATTCACTCAACAGTGAAATTAATGGCTATGAAAATACTTTACAATGGACTTGGAATTAAAACGAAATTAATATTCCAGTTGGAAAGTATTCACATTACAAGTCCCTTGGTAAATATGATATGGTGAGCCAAATATGGAGAAATTTCGTAAAACTGTTAGGGGACAAATCAGTACTGCCCATTCAGACTGGCAGGTAGAATTTAATCCTTGTCTGCCTTGCACTGGTATCAAAAATTTCGAATTAGTTTTTCAATACCCATGTTTTTATACAATTTTTAAAGGAAATAGAAACATTGAAAACTAGAAAAAATTGAAACTGAAATACTAATCATTTTAAATATTATTAATAAAATAAAATAAATTAAAAAAGGTTTTAAACGAAGACAGACAGAGCCGCGGCTCTCTTTAGCAGTTTCAATTGATTCTGCCGAAAGACACGGAATGAGAGTTCAACCGTTTTCTTATTGTGCCTATCTTGGCATTGACGTGACACCGGAAATCTCGGGGTTACAGCACTTGCCGCAAGCTCCAATTTTGCTCGCGGAGGCACTCGACATTGGTTTCTCAATGTATCTACGTGTGTCAACTGATCAGAGCATCCGTCCTCTAGAATTATTTTCTAGATTGCGATTTTAATAGACAACATCGAAGAAGAGTGGTGAGGTTACAAGTTAATAGGGGTTATGGTTCTACGGTACTTCTGCTCCAAGAGGAACATTATAGTGCTGCAATATATGGACAAATATTTACTGTAAAATTACTACTGTAGATGGAGTAATGTCTGAATACGAAGATAAACAAAACTTTGATATCATTTTACTTGAAATGACTGAAATGTTGGTTGGAACCTTGACATTCTAAAGACGAACAAAGTGGCTCAGAGCGTAGGAAGCTGAGTTCGCATTCGGGAAGTCCTGTTTCAATCCCCGTTCCGACCATCCCGATATTTCGTGGTTTCTCTCGGTCATCCAGAGGAATGCTCGGATGATTCTACTGAATGGCCACGACGGTGAAACGGGCGTCGCTAGCCGAAATTGTTAACTACGTGAAGGCGCAAAGGTTAGGCAAAATCGAAAAATCTCGGATTCCTGGTTGGGTGTCCGAGTGGAATTCGGAGATCTAACGGCGGCGCCGAAACTTCCCCTATATATATATATATATATATATATATATATAATACATTTCATGGCAAAGTAGCAATACCAGTATATTCCAAGGGTCGAGATGTTGTGCTCGGCCACCTCTGCCGTCGCCCGTCGTCCGGGCGGAGAAATTTCGGGTGGTTTGGGCGTCGCGTGCCCAGGAGCGACCAACCGACCGGGCGGGCGGCGTGGGATGTGGGGCGTCGCGGCGCCGGCGGCGGAGGGCGCGGCGCGGCGTCGCGCGGGAGAAAGTGGTGTGGAGGAGAAGGAAGGTGAAGGTGAAGGTGCGGGCGGTGAATCAGGCGCCGCCGCCTCCGAAGGTTCCGTGAAGCCGCCGCCTGCGCCACCTGCATAGAGTTGCAGCCTCAGATGTCGCCGCCCAAGGTGGAACATAGCACTGCATGCTCCATGACTGTTGTCATACGTGCTTATTAATGCGTGCATGTTTTACCTCTGAACGCCTACTCCCAGAGGGAACCGTTGCCTGGGTGACGGTTCATTTGGACTCGTTTCAGACTGGGCCATTTACAAGGCTCTCCCCACCTGCTCAATGGTCGATGCGTCCCTGGAGGACGGCAGAGGCTTAGCTGGCTCGGGGCATCCATTGATGGCACTTCAGTATCTCTGGCGCAAGGTCAGAGTTCCCACGGAAGCAGGAATTTTAACGAGTTAAATAGCTATATAAAGTTCAGTCGCTGTCTGCAGGAGAATTCTGGCGGCCGGCTGCTTTGATCGGTAGTTTTTCCGAGGTTTCTTACATCAACACCAGGCGAATGCCAATGTACTATTTTAAGAAACAGGTCACCAATCGTGTGTAATCTTTCTGCGTCATCCCTGTCTTATCTTTACCCTCTTACTGAAACGCACCTTTACATGCATTACACTTCCACACATGTCGGAAGAGCAGTCGGGAGCTTAGAGCTTATCCCAGCTGGGGCGGTGCCCCGGTAGTGGGATAGACTGGTAGGAAAAAGCCCTGCGTGGGGGTTGGTGGGTGAGTGCGTGGGGGTTGGTGGGTGAGTGCGTGGGGGATGATAGTCATTAGTCCCGTGAGTGAAGTTCATGTTAGAAATTGAGGATGCCGGTGATCCTTGGGTGCTGGCGTTTCCCTTTCATTCAGCAGCTCATTCAGCGGTACAAATCTCTCTACAGCGTACGTATACAACTACTGATTGACAATCGGCTCTCTTTTCGTTTGTGCATGAAGAGAACGATCCCTTCGCTTATTTATGAATAAAATAGAAATACGAAGGAGGAGAAGGCGATAACTTGTGCGGCAGGGTACCTTCACTGCACAGCCCCGTGAAAGAGTAAATGAGTTACTTTCCTTTCTGCTGTTTTATGCCGTGATTGTAGATCAACAATCTTATACAGTTGGTCATGCATTCTTTTGAGCGAGATCTTACGGAAACTTTCTTAAATTAAGATACCACGTTAGTGACGTGTGAAGAGAATTATTGCTGTATGTGCAAGATACGTAGTATTCGAAAGCGCAGGTTTCTGCGGTCGAAGTCGATAGATTCGTGGCTGTCCGGGTGACGCCGTGTTCTAAGCAGAGTTGTGGTCTTGACTATTATTCTTCGACCTTCCTCAGGGCAAAATGTCTAAGTTTTTCGGCCCGTGAGCACTTTGTTGTGAGGAAGGTTGCAGAGGGCCGGCCAAAACGTTGAGAACTGTTCCTAGTGCACTGGTTCTCCCGGACGACCAAGAATCTAAGGCAGGGGTGTTCAATTTGCAAGACCTCAAGGGCCACAACAAACTCCTTTAATATGGTTTCCGGTCATATTTTCATTACTCGGACGATCCAGACCTGACTTCCCCGTGCTGTTGATATAGGGAGTTTGTTCGACTGCTATGAAATGGGCGGGGGAGGGGGGACTATGCGTGAGATCATGCTGAGCCATGCATAACGCAGCGAATCACATTTGGATTATTCTGAATTTACTAGAAAAGTCTCACATGTAAACAACCTGCTATATTTACATAAAGGAGGTGTTGCAAACAACCGATTACTTTTGACTAATAACCTTTCACGGTCCACAATAATTGCCGCCAATTGGACACCCCAGACTCGAAGGTATTATATAAGTGTTCACTTCAATTTATTACTAGAAAACTACTTGACATGCTTCAGATGCTAATGTCTTGCATTATAATAAAAACATAGTTTTGTAATCATTTTTTTTTCTTTCTTCGACATATACCAAAATACCATATACCATATATTATCCTAAAAATAGACTTCAAAAATTATTATTAAAGAATCTTCGGCCAACACCTGATAATTTAGCAATCTGTATATCAATTTTTGTTGAATTTCATTGTTCTACATGTTTAAAAATGACACAAATTTCAGAAATATGAGCTATCAAACATATTTTAGTTCATTAATTTCTTATAAACAAGAAGGGTATATTCATTTTAAAATACATTACTCCGATACCACTCATGTCATATTTATATTTCAATTGTAATTTCTCAAGAATGACAAATTTCCAGAGCACAAGATCAAGAACTACGTATCACATTTTCTCTTTTCATGACAGTTAAACAAGATATTCCGCGTTGATCGAAGATGCTGACTTCAATCTTTTACTGAACTCATTCAATCTCTCGTGGTAGGCTTTGCACACACGATCTTTTTTCTTCAGCAGGAAGGTAATGGCACATCAAACTTTCTCTTGTTTTAACCGACCGGTTTTTGTAGCGCTTATATTCCACTCTCCTCAAAGGTCATGAAAGAAATGTTTTTTTCCTACTGCAATATTTTATACTGTCACATCAAAGGATCTGAGAGATTCAGAATTTGAAATGAGGTTTTTTGAAATGATTAAATGAAATTTACTGATAACCGATGAATTGATATTTAAAAATGTTTTTGTTCTGAAAGTAATGCAGATATTTTGATAAAAATTGTTATATTAAATGTCACTCCATATCGTCATCTTACAATATCGTACTTCAAAATTTATGTAGGGTTCATTGTCGTGAAAAAAGTAAGACTCGTGTATTTGCGGTAGCTCTCATAAATGGAAGATATCAGCATATAGATATCATTCAGTCTCACTATTTATGTAGTAAAGACACGTATTGTCACATAAGATATTCTTAACAAATGAAGAATGTGAAGAAGATAATTAATTTCACAGAATGCAAACTGTATATTGTATAAATCGTAATATTTATTGCAAAATGTTTCAATCAGCCAGACGCAATAACAATCCCACAGTACACGTCCATGTAAGATTGTTTATTTAAACCAATAATCATAACGCCACGAGCACATACTGCGGTTTTTGAAGGTCCCGGCCTTTGTAATCTGGTTTCCAAGATCGAAAGTTTTGGGTTGTTTCTCAAGCTCTAGTACACAAAACGGGATGGTTTCCGAGTCTCTCTTGTATTTGTGAGAGTTCAAAAGTTTGGAGTATCAGACTTCCGTGGCACTGAGCAAAACGTTCAAATTTCTCCAATTGAATGAAAACAAATGTTACATATTTTTTTCCTTCTTACGAATGGGGGAGGAGCAGGATAGATTATCGTCTTGGGAGACTTCTCATACGGCAACATTAAATGCGAAATAATGAAACAAAATTTCATGTTGCCCCCAGACAAAATTGTCTGTTCTCCTCCCTCGAAGATACTTTCTATAGTTCACATTTGAACATATCGAGTTGCTGTCAGAGATTCACTATGAGTTTCCGCTCACGAACACTTCAAGGAAGTTGAATTCTGATGAGCGAAAATTCGTTGGCACTCTCACTGATGAATGAAAGCGCGCCATAGTGTTACATCACTGCATCCTGTCCCGTTTTTATATGTACACTAATGCAGTGAAAGAAAATTTAATGGCATAATATCAACATCTCGAGAATATACTTTATTTGAAAGAAAATCTGTAGAAGAGATAACAAACAGAGACAGATGAGAGCTTGTTATATCCAGCTTGCGGGGCAGCAGAACTTAATTAACAGAAACACACTTTCCTCAAAGGAATTAAAACGACAGGAAACTCTTCAAATACCAATGAATTAGTTCAACTAAAGGGATTATTTAAAAAACACAGGTATATTGTCTGTCCTATAAGTCCTCCCCTCCTCAATTTTCAACGCCCTAATTGTCAGTCACATGTACATCATCCACAACTTCTTATAATTCTCATAGTCTTCCTAAACAACAACAACAACAACAACAACAACAACACATTTAATAAGACTTCCGTCTTACAGGTACACATATTACATAAAGTCCTATCAACTTCTCCAAACATTTAAATAGATAAATCAGCCAAAATCTTACGAAAATCAAGCACACTATTGTTTGAAGATCAGTTTCGTGTATCTTTCTTTTTTTTCAGAATTCCAGAGAATGAGGAACACACATTACGATATTCTAAACAAGCAGAAGTGCTATTATTTGTAAATAATCCAAACGTTGTATATACTTTCACTCTTCTTAATACAGAAAGGTGCGGATTCTATCCAGAAATCTGGACACAGTGGTAATGGAACGCTTGTTTAATACCTTTAATTGAAAATAGTCTACTCTCATTGTAGATTTTTTTGCCACTTTTCAAATCAAATTCAATTGACTATTATCAATAATATCATTTCTGTGGTGCTGTGTTGCAGGCGGCATCCCGTACGGCAGCGTGACGGGGCGCGTGGCCGAGTACTACCGTTCGCGCGGGGACCCGCTCGGTAACTCCCTGCTGGACGACCTGCTGCAGGTCAACAACCAGGTGCTCATCCTGTAGGCAGCCCGCGCCTGCAGCCGCCTCGCCGCCCGCACTCTCGCCCTCTGCTCGCAGCGACCGCTACGTTGCCCGCTACACAAGCATCAGTCAGCCTTCTGCCCTCGCGAGGATCGTCCTATGAGGATGCGTTGTGGAGGTAAAATGTAGTGTCGATGTAGTGTCAGTCTTAGATATCACGTATTTGCATTGTTTAAAAAGTACAAAAATATTGAAGTAGTTATGTCTAAATTTTGATGAAAACCCTACATTTATCCACTGAAAGCTTTCAGTGATGAAACAAAATTAATTCAAAACAGCTAAAATGAATTTGATAGTCGTTTTCGTTATACACATACGTTTGACATACAGATTTGTACGACAATTACACATTAATAATCTGATAGCGAAACAACTGTTTCTTGTTCAATAAATTTTTATATTAAATTTTCTACCGTCACGCGTTCAGAATTTGTGCCTTTTTCTTATTAATGAAATGCGCGTGTTTAAATCAACTTCTCGATAAGTATCATAGACATGAAGCAAGAAAAAACATCAAGATGTTTACGAAACCTGAACAGAAGGGTGTGTGGTCCGGAAGACTTTTCTTCTGAAGTGAATTGTGAGAATACTTGATAATATCTGTGAGTGAAAGACTAATTATGTCTGTCTAGTTTAGTTTTTAATTACTGTAATTTTGTAAAGACACACTAACGGTACTGTACTACTGCTTTGCAAGAGAAAATGAGTAACTGGTATTCGTTGTTCTCGTAATTTAATGCATCTGTTGCCTCGTCAGCGTGTAGCACTGAACCTTCTTTAATAGTTTGTTTCGGGCAGCATCGAGCAAACAATTATTTTTATGGTTGTATTCCATAAAATACTGATAGACATATAGCATTTAATATAACTCAAAATCACTTAAAAAATAAAACATTCAATTGTTTTGCGGATATAAAATACTTGATCCACACATTAAATAGAAATTGCATGTTTATGCGTGCTTTTGGAGTAAACTCTGTAGAACTGTCAAATTACGCGATTCATTTCCATTGCAACTGCTAATTTTAATCATTGTTTTGTCAATCTTAAAAACTTTTACGTGCGTCTTCGCTGCATATTACGCAAGACTGCTGCTCACATCCAATTCTTTTATTTAGGGGAAGAGGAAAGACAATCTCACAAGCACTTGTTCTTGAATGCATTTTCTCAAGGCCAGTCTTTAAACGGTATATTAGTACTATTTCACACGGTTACCAACATCCGGTCCTTTCATTTGGAGATTTCTTACAACGTACCAAGGAAAAAGGAAGTAATTGGCGGTGACTCAAAAAAAATTCAAGGTCTGTACTTTCACTAGAATGTATGGCTTTCGCGGGACTACAGCGGTAGTCCATGACAATATGGTATTGCCTCCAACAGCTGTTACATGATGTGGCCTTGAGATTGTGTTCAGGAATTTTGTGCAAGAAAACGGTTACGCAAAGAGTGAACAATTCATTTTCCTTGGTGCACTTCAAAGAGCATTGCAAATCTATAGTATGTAAGCATGTCTGCATATACTTATGTTGCAAAACTGTACATATGTTGTTGTGAAGCGTTCTGCGCTCATACTTTGTTAAATAAAAATATATTTTATAATACCTATTTACTATACTTTTTCTGAACCTCAATTATGTTTTTGTTGCAAATTTCAGGTATGCAGAAGCGAATTGTAGAGTAATTTATCTCTGAACGTTGTGTCAAAGACTTGTCTCACATTTCATCATAATTTATTGACAATGTAAACTGGAACTACTTTACTCACGTTGGTGGTCAACCTTTATTACGAACAACCAAAAAAATTATATTGCCACCCAGTAATTACGATGAACATTAAACGCCTAACGAATACATTTAAAAACGTATTGAACAGACAGAATTTGTTGATAAAAAAAACTTAACTGATTATAAATCACACATTTTTCAAAAATATTTTTTTCTTAACTTTTTAGTAATGTTTATAAAGATGCGCTATAAATATTGATTTTACAATAGGTCAAAACGCACAACCAAAAGAGGTCATGAATTATATTACTGTCGAAAGCATGATAATTAAGAGCATTGGAGTGAAAGTCGAAAGGAATGTTAATTAGAGGTAATTCGCCCCCCTTCTCTCTTTCTCAACTCTTTTAGTTTTCTTCTAAACTTGCATTAGAATGCGGAGGTCTACACCTAAACAAGGTAAGAACCATCATTCACCACCAGAAAAAACTCATGATCATAGTTTAAATTTATTATCGATAAAAATTCTCTTGGAAACAATACTTTTATACAGAAATGACTACTTGAGGAGACTTGTTTTTCAATGGAGAGATTTTTAATATTTTGCCTAATGTATCTGTATATTTAGAATTATAATCGAAAGTGAATAATGTTGCAGCCGTCATGGAAAATTTCGAAAGTGAAGTAAAATGACAACGAAGGAGAAAATGTTTCCTTCTGAAGATCTAGATGGTTTGAGGAATGGCAGAGGTCGTAAAACGTGTACTAGTAATAAGGAAGAATATTATAATAAAAAATAAATTGAGAAATAAAGCTCCAAAATAAAGTAATATTATTCAAGATAAGTAAAAATAGCAAAGTAAAGAAATGCAACAAGGACCACAAACGTTCATTATTGTGAATCATTATGTTCTTTTGCATATGTGTTCTTCTCGGGATCAGGTCTTTATACCTGGCGTAACTTATCGCATAGATTTATAGTGTCGTTATATATTCTTTGCTACCTTTCATATAAATTCTTAAGTACGGAATATGAGTTATGGTGGGGATAAATTGAAAAGTGCTTTCAGCTATATCTTCATAACTATCTTGGCAAAAATATTGCTCAAGACAAAATTGAAGTAGACATTTTAATTCTCAACTAGTATAGTAAAAACAATTACTCTCCTTGACTTTTTAAGTCTTTAACAAATGTTAGGTAGAGTTGAGGCATAAAATTTTTGTTTCAAACGTTTTGATGTCTTTATTAATGATATCTATTAAATGTATAGATATGAAAATTCTAGTTTTTATTTCGACAAGACATATTTTAGTTACATATGTTGTAACTAAATTTGTTTCATACGTTGCATTATGTTCAATTCATGAAATTGTTGTTATTGTCCAACATTAATAACCAATGTTTGCAATATTCTCCACAAAAACACAAGCATAATACATATTAAGAATATACCATTAAGCATTTCAGTACGAATAATAAATCACAAATATCCTTGTTTATGACCATGAATATGTACTATGTTAATAGCCAAAACAAATCATAACTTTTCAATTGTTAATATTTACATTAGCGGTGATTTGTTCACTTAATATTTGACTGCATGTGCTTTAAATGTCATATAAAATTTCTCGTAAAACTCAACTGTTTTCTGTGTGAAATAAGCTCAAAATTTCGCATTTTCCAAAACGATCAAATGCCATTTTCTCAAAAACAGCTCTAAATTTTATCTTCCAACTGTTCGAACGGATAGTGCTAATTACACTCATTAATATGATGTAAATTGCATTTCGTTTTTTTTTTTTTTTTTTTCACAAATTGGCCTCCTGAACTCAAATGACCTCTCCCGACAATGACGTCCGGAAATATTGGTTGCCGCACAAAGATCTGTTTAGTTTGATTTTGTGTGTTCCATTTGCCGGAAATAAGCTGGAGATTCAAAGCCATGTGTGATAACAAGGCTCTCTAGAATTCGTGCCAATGGTCTAGAGGACGTTACGAAGAAGTTTCAAACTGCATTGCGAAATTAAGGGAATAGTCGGACGATTTCCGGTGCAATGAGTATTTTTCGGACGAAAACGTCAAATTTCGCTCGCAGTCAGTGACAGCGTGCGACCGAAATTTCGCCTGCACTTTGGCCGTAGCTTGACGCTTTAACAATGTGTAGGTTTTTTTTCAAACAGAAGAAACTGCTGTCTATGTGGCTCGAGTCTAAGCTTTGAGATTTTGAAAAACATTCCTTAAATGTTGCGTTTTTTACATGAAGACTCTGGGAAGTTTTCAAAATTTTCTCAAAAACGGCTCCAATGTTTTCCTTTAAATTTCTTGTAAAAATAGAATTAAATAAACTTTTGGATGTGGAAGAGGTCCGAGGGTTAACCAAATTTTCAATATTTCTCAAAGATTTGAACTTTTTTAGGCGTCTTTCTACAGCTACAAAACTGAAGATAGAGATTTATCGTTAAAATCGAAATTTTTGTCAAAATTAATTCTTTCATTAAGGTCATGTACATTTTTTAAAACTTTTTTAGTTTTCGAAAAATATTGCGTGCACTACGTGCAATTTAGTTGCAACGTCGTTGAAGTAGTCTGGTAGTGTCACTATTGTTCAGTAAGTTGATGGCTAGAATATTGGGATGTTGAGACTTGAGAATCGTTGTAGGAATTTTGCACTGGTCTTGTTAATTTCTTCTTTTATTGTTGGGATCTGTAAGGCTTTGTATATATTTGCGTTCGTTATGTTCCACGGGGCATTTACAAATTTTCTTAAGGCTTTTGACTGGAAGAGTTGTAATATTTCAATGTTAGAATGTTGAGCTGATTCCCAAATTGTATGCCCAGACTGGCTTTAATATTGCTTTGTACACAATTACTTTACGATGAAGAAATTTCTTCCTTGTAGACTGTTTAAACTTAATTTTTGGATCTAATTCATTTCTATTTTTCTTCATATGTTCTTTTCCACGAGAGTTATGTGCACATAACAATACACTGATAAATGTAATTTAGTTTGACTGTAAATTGAAATAAAACCCTTGCCACAGACACGGTCTAATTTATTTATGGGAGGAAAACTCCCAAATAAAAACACGTGCACAATTTGATTCAGAAAGACTTTGTTACAATAGTTTTTAACTAGGGACATTCTTTTGTTAGTAATTCCAATATTTATTATAAATTGCAATAATTTTTGTATCAACCATATTGGCAGGTAAAACTATCATTAATCCTGGTCTCATAAGTATCCCTACCGCGCAGTGCTCTGTTAAAACGAACATAAGGTAATAAGTTTAGATTTTCTTTCCTAATAACCATGATCGCTTAAATAACTATTAATAACTAAATAGTTGTACGAGCTCTCTTTTTTTCTCGTTTTAAAGATTGGAATCAACAATGTT